AAGTAAAATTCACCTGATTTATTGACAAATCTTTTTACATTTTATGTTTACAGGATTTTCGCTAGTAAATCTTACGTTATTTTTTACAGTGTACTAGATGTGCTCTGTTTTCAAAAAATAATTTCTTAATATTCCACCGCTGCTCATCTCGTTCCTCTCGTCTGCCCTTCAGGTGACCGGCACCATGGGCAACATGAGGACCGGTCTGCACCAGCACCTCGCAAGGCTGGATGAGATCTTCGCCACGCGGGGCGACTACGTGCAGACCCTGCAGTTCATGCAGCAGATGGCCGACAACGTGATCAAACAGCTGCTGGGCCTTCCCGACTGGGACGTGTCCAAAGTGGACCTGGCATCCATCGCCGATCAAACGGCGAGCGTCGAGTATTACAGGTGAGGAAACGTTAGTGCAAAGCAGATGTTCTGTTTGTGAAACAGTCCCATTCCGGAGGCGAGGAGTGTATTTCCCTTTAAAATTTTTAAATGTTCCTTACTTTTTTTTTTTGTTGTTTTCTTGCCATGATGTTACACAAGGTTGTTGTTGGACACAGATTTATGCAGGTGATGAAAGCAGTGCATGCTTTTCAAAAATGCAACGCGCTGCAGAACCGTTTCAGAATGCAAATATTCATGTCGGAGACGGTCCACAACGGGGGGGGAATTATAAGAGGCGGCTTCCAAACATGAGTTAAACTCGCCCACGGATCTGGAACGACATGACATATTCATGAACATTAAATTTAGACATTTTCATTTAGTCATGGAGAAACTATTGCCTTTCTTGAAGGATCACATATTGTCATCCACTTTTTATGTAGAGTTTTTAAACTAAGATCATCTTAAGGTGAGAAATAAAAGAGTTGTCACCATTTTGGTCAAACCTTGAAAACAGCGTTACGTATAATTTCATGTGAAATATGATGCTGAGAGTATGTGGTGCGAAAAACTCAACAACTACATCAAAATTGAGCTTATCTGTAAAATTACTGAGTTGCAGTTGATTGGTTGTTGATTGGTCGTAGCGGTACATACGACAATTAATGTCTGAAAAGTTCATTGAAATCTGCTCAGCGGTTCATGAGATATTTTGCTAACACACCATCAGCCTTCGCCTTTTAACAGCAGGTGATAAATATGCTCAAGCATGTGGTATCAAGTCTTACACATGGATGCAGTCACGGAGCATTTCAACACAATGATAGACCTGATTTGTATGCAGGAAGTTACTCTCTGCATGACCTGGTTACATCACTCGGTATTTACTAGATGGAATGAAATCAGACSTTACATGTATGTGTCATCCACTTGTGTAAATAAGAACTCCCTTATTGACTGCGTTTGCATGGGACGCTTGGATCCCGGTAGAGAATTAGCCGTCATTCAGACATCCTGACTACAAACAGTAATGATACGAGTGCAGCAGCCAACAGACGCAGCGTGTCGAAAAATAGGCCTCGCTTCACAGGTGCTAACTTTACGTCAGCTGAAAAGCCTGGACCTTTGATAAACTGTTGATTGTCTGTAATATGGATACGTTTTACAAATCAGTTTCACATTAAAGAGGCCATCTACTATTTATTTTTATCTGGCTTTTGTCCCCAAAAACACAGTTTTAGGAACCTCAAAAAGTTGTTTTTTTTTTAAACAGGTTCCAGAGCAAAAAACATCTTGAAACGCACTCCTTGAGGTTTTGTGCAGACAGCCAAAACACAACCTTTTTAAAATGATGACATCATCGCACGTCATCAAATCTAACCTATGACCTTAGAGTGTCCTCTTSTTATACTTGTGTTGAATAAAGGTTTCTATTTTTATTGATTTTATTTACATACTTGAAGCTTTGGGGGAGTATTTTCCAGGCACACAGTTCGATTCTGTCAGCAGTATTCCTGAATTTGCGACACTACCCATAATTCATAGCGGAAGTTGGTTTTATACTACGGATCYGGGTGTATATCCGTAGGCTTTTTGTCGGAAAAAAACCCTTCCCTTTGGTGGGTAAAATCCTCCTTCGTCGACATAGACTGTGTCTAAAGTCAGAGGCTGGGTCCTCCGGAGGACCCTGCCTACCCGGTCTAGAGGGACCGGGTCCTTGGTACGTAGACATGTGTTTACTACTTGTTGTTGTTCCAGMCAAAATGTTTCTAAAGCATTTGTGTGTTTTCTTKAATTGTTGTGGCAGCCGACAAAAARACAAGTTGAACCCAAATCAAACTGCTCAAGCCGRCAGTTAAAGCAAWAACAAACTGCTTGTGTTGGTATTATAAGTAARAAACAACTCCCTAAATGAATGAATCTCTGGTTCTCATTTTGTGTACCYGAAATATAAAACCGGGGGGCAGAACTAGCGGTCTGTCATGGCAGCTTTTTACGCTTTTATAGAAACCTGTGGACACCGCAATCYAATAACTATGTTACCTTCAGTTATAAWAAAGCTGTATAWATCAAAAATAAAATTGACTTTGCATCYWAGTCTATCAAAACACCTTGAAATTGGCCTCTGTCTCTTTAAGAACCTCCTACCYTTTCCTYCATTCCCACTTCAGCYCGTCTTCACAACAATGCTTTGGGGGAGGGGTGCTCTGTGGGGCAGGAGCTCGGCTGCAGACTGAGCTCCAGGGAGGAGCTTRGRACCAGCAAGTATTTAGGCAGCTCCACAWGYCTACCACAGGCGATTGTAGGCTTTCTCAAACATCCATGAAAGAGTCAAAGCAACACTCTGAGTATGTTTTTGATGAGGGAATGACATACATTCCAATTGGTTAAATCACAATTTATTTAACCAATAGGAAACAGCTTGTACAAATTAATGATGTTAGGTCTGAACTTTGTAATATTGTATGTGGAGTTCCACAAGGTTCTGTACTGGGACCAAAGTTGTTTCTTTTATATATTAATGACTTGGTAAATGTGTTGGGGTTGTTTAGATGTGTTTTGTTTGCAGATGACACTATTTTTTTTTTTGCTTGGGTAAGAAAATAGAAGAGATGATGGAAATAGAAATTGTAAATCGTTTTAATCATAAGTAATCATTAAATTTGGATAAAACAAATTACATGATATTTAGTAATAGAAATAAAACAACTGATGTTCCATTTAGAGTGGATGGTGTTGAAATTTGCAGAGTCAGTGAGATGAAGTTTTAGGGAGTCATCATTGATGAAAAACTGACATGAAAACCTCATATAAATTACTTAAGAACAAAAATGGCAAAATCTATGTCATTATTGTAT